GGAGCTGATACAGTTACTCAATTTTTTACCAAGCTCAAGACATTTTGGGACGAGTTGGATACACTACAACCGTTACCAAAGTGCAAGTGCATTCCCAATTGTGCATGTGGCTTGATGATGCAGACGCATGCAAGAAACAAGAGAGAAAAGGATCACATCATTCGTTTTCTACGTGGTCTTAATGATCAGTTTGCTGGTGTTCGATCTCAGGTGATGTTAATGGATCCTTTTCCAAATATAAATAGAGTTTTTTCTCTAATTGTTCAACAGGAAAGACAGATTAATGTTGAAGCAAAAGAAGATGTCAAAGTCTTCTTGAACACAAATGAACAAGCACAAGCTCATGGTCAAGGATTCTTGAATAGAAATGAGCGACCACCCACTCGTGGTCAAGACTCGTATAGAGGAAGAGGTTACCCAAGCTATGGGAGAGGAAGATCAGTGCCGAGAAAGGTGTGTACCCATTGTGGAAGGACAAACCACACAATTGAAACCTGTTTTGAAAAACATGGTTACCCTCCAGGCTATAAAGATAGAATAAACAGAAGAGCAAATTTGGCTGTCTGTGATTCTGATGATTTCTTTGAAAATCGTGGAAACTTGGATGAAGACAGAAAGCAATCCAATGAATCTTTTCATTTTACCAAAGACCAATATCTCAGTCTGCTAGGTTTTCTTCAATTGCCACAAGAAGATGGAAATCATTCTGCTCATGTTGTCCAAACCAATGCAGTATCTTCAAACACAGGTAAAAATAAATTCCAATGGATCCTTGATACATGAGCTATTGATCACATAACCCACTGTTTTGAGTTGCTTTCTTGCCCCAACAAATCAATCCTATCCCAATTAGCCTACCTAATGGTGATCAAGTCTTTGCCACATATTCTGGTAGCATATACTTATCATCCTTACTTGTGTTATCAAATGTCTTGTATGTTCCAAAGTTCTTTGTTAACCTTGTTTCCATTACCAAATTGCTTCATGATTCAAACTGCCATGTCATTTTCAGATCACTAACATGTTCCATTATACAGAATACAACTGGGAGGATGATTGGCATTGCTAGCCAATGTAACAACTTGTTCATACTTACACTACCAAATGACAATTCTGTTAAAGAAAACCAGAATAAAAGCTGCAATAACACAGCAACTGATTCAACTATCTGGCATAGACGCTTTGGACATTGTTCTTCTTCAACATTACATAGCATGTCAAAGATTTTTCCTTTCATTTCTTGTAATTTCCAAACTGATGTTTGTGACATTTGTCATTACTCCAAACAGAAACGTTTGTCTTTTCCTTTAAATACTTCTGTTTCTAAGTCATCTTTTGATATCATACACATGGATATATGGGGTCCTCATGCTGTTACCTCAATTCATGATCACAAATATTTTTTGACAATTGTAGATGATCATTCTCGATTCACTTGGGCAATGCCAATGAAAAATAAAGCTGCTACTCGATCACATATACACAACTTTGTTTCCTATGTTGAGACTCAATTTCATGCCAGTATTAAAGTAATTCGAACAGATAATGGTCTTGAATTTCTTTTGAAAGATTTTTACAATTCAAAAGGCATAATTCATCAAACATCATGTGTTGAGTGTCCTCAACAAAATGGCATTGTAGAACGAAAACACCAACACTTGTTAAACACAGCTCGAGCATTATTCTTTGAATCTAATGTACCAAAAATCTACTGGTGTTATTGCATAACTCATGCTGCATATATTATTAATCGGCTTATTACTCCTGTCCTCACCAATAAATCCCCTTATAAATGTCTATATGGCACTGTACCTTCACTTCTTCATCTTAAAGTATTTGGTTCCCTATGTTTTGTTTCCACTCTTACTCACAATCGTTCAAAGTTTGCAGCTCGTGCCAAGAAGTGTATTTTTCTTGGTTACAAACCAGGTACAAAAGGGTATGTTGTTCTTGATATGGAGTCAAATAACATTTCCACCCCTCGAAATGTTATTTTTTATGAGTCTCATTTTCCTTTTAAAGAGTCAAATAATTTTGAGAGTTATGTTCCCTTCTCCATTCAGTCATCTGATATTAATTATGATGGCATTCTTGACACAACTCCTGTGTCTATTGATTCTTCTCATCCACCTCACCCATCTTCCATAGTCTCTGCTGATCACACTATACATGATCAGGCTCCACATACAAATTGTATTCCAGTTGAACCTAGTCTTCGAAGATCCACAAGAACAAAGTCCAAGCCTCACTACTTAACAGAATTTCATTGTGGTTTGTCAAGTATAACAAGTGCCAATGCATCCTCAGGTTTGATTTCTAGTTCTCCTCACCCTTTATCCAATGTTCTTTCTTATGCTAAGTGCTCACCCTTTTACACAAGCTTCTGTAGCAATATTACCAGTGAAACAGAACCAGCCACCTATAAACAAGCAGCTCTTCTTCCTCATTGGCAAGAGGCTATGCAGAATGAAATACGAGCATTGGAGAGGAATAACACCTGGTCCATAGTTGAGCTACCTCCTCATAAGAAACCTATAGGCTGCAAGTGGGTTTACAAGATTAAAAGAAAGCCAGATGGATCTGTTGATAGATATAAAGCACGCCTTGTTGCTAAAGGCTACACACAATGTGAAGGAATTGATTATTTTCAAACCTTTTCACCGGTTGCAAAGATGACCACAGTTCGTACTTTACTGGCTATAGCTGTAGCAAAGGATTGGCACTTGGAACAATTAGATGTAGATAATGCTTTTCTACATGGTGAACTTCATGAAGAGGTTTTTATGTCTCTCCCACCTGGTATCCAGTCTATAGTTCCTAATGCCACTTGCAAACTTCAAAAATCCCTCTATGGATTGAAGCAAGCAAACAAGCAATGGAATGTTAAACTTACTCAATCACTTCAATTATTGGGATATAGTCAATCCATTGCAGACCATTCCTTATTTGTTCGACAGTCTTCTCATTCTTTTACAACACTACTTGTTTATGTTGATGATGTAGTTCTGGCTGGTAATGATGCAACAGAAATTACACGAGTAAAAACTGCTCTTCACAATCAATTCCGAATTAAAGATCTTGGTCCCCTCAGATTTTTTTTGGGTTTGGAAGTTGCAAGATCTTCTCACGGATTAGTTCTTAATCAGAGGAAGTATACCTTGGAGTTATTAACAGATTCTGGTCTTCTAGGAGCTAAGCCAGTTGCCACTCCTCTCAATGCTTCTGTTAAACTACAGCAGAATCAAGGTACTCCCTATTGTGATCCTTCTGCCTACAGAAGACTTGTTGGTAGGATCCTTTTCTTAACAACAACCCGACCTGACATCACTCATGCTGTTCATCAGCTGAGTCAATTTGTTTCTAATCCCATGGATGAACACCACATTGCTGCTTGTCATATTCTGCGTTACTTAAAAGGCTCACCTGGCAAGGGTCTTCTATTTCCAGTTTCTAACTCTCTTCAACTCTCTGCCTTTTCTGACAGTGACTGGGCATGCTGCCCAGATACACGCAAATCTGTCACGGGTTCTTGCATTTTCTTAGGCAATTCATTGATCTCATGGAGATCTAAGAAACAAAGCACAGTTTCTCGCAGCTCATCTGAAGCTGAATATCGAGCACTTGCCTTTGTAACTTGTGAAGTTCAATGGATGGCTTATCTCCTCAAGGATCTGTATCTTCCTTTAACCAATCCGGTTTCGATCTACTGTGACAATCAAGCTGCCATGTATCTTGCTCATAATCCTAGCTTCCATGAAAGGAGTAAGCACATTGAAATTGATTGCCACATCACTAGGGAGAAAATTAATTCAGGTCTCATTCGATTGCTTCCCATTTCTACTCATCACCAACTAGCTGATGTGTTTACCAAATCACTGCATCCTTCTCCTTTCAAAGAGGTCATTTCCAAGCTGGGGATGTTTGATCTTCATCTCCCACCTTGAGGGGGGCTATTACCAGTGAAATGGAAGCAGCCATGACCCTTTTAGTTTTAAGACTTGGTGTTAGTTGTTAGTTGGTTCATTCTGTTATTTCTTTCTTGCAGTTACTTTCTTTACACGTATCAGCTACTAGTTGATGTATATAAGCTGATACTTGACACGTTTTACCTTCAATGAAAATACTATTCAGTTTGCATATTTCCTTCCTTCCTCTTGCTTCTTCTTTCTCCTTTCTTTCTTCTTCAACTTTAATAGAAACCACCCTTACAATGGCAAAGTTTTGCAACCAATTCATGTATAAAGTGAAACGACGATGACCATTTTTTTCCGGACGCCTTTTTTCTAATCCTCCTACCAAATGACCTATTATTTTTCCTATCTTATTTTCCTGGTCAATTTTTTTTTGCCCCCATACCAAACATAAGCGCTAAGTGTTGGAACATTATAAAAAGGACATTGCATGAATTTTAGTTAAATATTTTATATACATAGCAATGAGAAATGTTATATTTATAAATTTTTTTTTTATAAACTCTTATAAATTATACTATGTCTTACCAGTCATACTTAATGTAATTTGTAAAAAAAATTTATAAACAAATCCTTTCCTAATAAATATAGATGAAAGAGAATTTGCTCTTGAGAGGTTAAAGAACGAGGAAGAAGGCACTCAGTGACTCAACCATCATCTCATGTAAGTAATTTGTTTTTCATTAACCCATATGTCCTATCCTTTTGTAATTGAAGGGACTGTTTTATCTTCTTGTTTTTATTTAAATTATACTGTTTTCGCATTGTAATACATTTCAATTCATGGTGATAAGAAAAAAAACAAGAAAAAGCCGGCACCGTATTGAACCGGGTATCTCAAGGTTAGTCAACAATCAATCCCCACAATTTAAACATGGGCGTCAGCACCATTTTCGTAAAGGTCAACAAAATATTTCCAACTTCACTCATAGTTTATAGTAGTAATACGACAATTACTTATGCCTTTATAATCCTTTGCATTCAACCTTAACTCATTACCAACTAAACCAACAACTTCTCACATCTTACATGTTCCCTGATACATTTACTATGATTGCAACAATAATTATTGTTGTTGCACTAACACTTGTAGGTGTTAGTTCAGTTCCAGAAGCTGATAAGATAAACAGCTTACCAGGGCAGCCACCGGTCAAATATGAGCAATATTCTGGTTATATTGCAGTGGATGATCAGCATCAGAGAGCATTGTTTTACTATTTTGTTGAAGCAGAAGAAGACCCTGCTTCTAAGCCACTAGTACTCTGGTTGAATGGAGGTATTGTCTTATGTATTTTGTTTTATACATTTATTTTAGAAGCTTACTTAATACAATCCTTTTAGACTTGATGAAGCAATTAGCATGCTTTCTTGAATTTGACATTTGAAGGGCCTGGTTGTTCGTCTTTTGGAGTTGGAGCTTTTGCAGAGCATGGCCCTTTCAAACCGGGTGACAACAATGTTCTTTTGAAAAATGATTATAGCTGGAACAAAGGTCATCCATAAACTCATCAATTCTATAAATACAATTTTTGTTTTATTTTTTGGTGGGGGGTGGTCAAAATTTTCTCCTTTTGGTTTTTTTACATCCAAAATTACTTAATTCATTTTGACCTTTTCACAGTGGCAAATATGCTATACTTGGAATCACCAGCTGGTGTTGGATTCTCCTACTCTTCCAATACATCTTTCTATGTCTTAGTGACTGATGAAATTACAGGTTCTTTCACTTCATCTTCTGCACAATAGCATTTACATAGTAACAAAAGAATCATAGTTTAAAATAAGCTTAAGATTTTATCAACTTGTGTTTTGTACATTTCTCTAGAAGCTGATCATGACGGTGTCGTGCCTGTACAGCTAGGGACAATCTTGTTTTCCTACAGCGCTGGTTCACTGAATTCCCAGAGTACTCAAATAACGACTTCTTCATTACAGGAGAGAGCTATGCAGGTAAATTATTTGAGATAAATGACTAATGGATATATTCATTTTGAAACTGCAGTAAGGTAATGCACACTTGTTTGCAGGCCACTATGTTCCACAACTTGCACAACTTATTGTTGAAACCAAGACCAAGTTCAATCTCAAGGGGATAGCTGTGAGTACAGAAGGGAAATTTTGAATAATTAAAATATAAGAAACCATTTGGTTTATTTGAAAAGCATAACTGGTCCGTGTGTTGATATTTGCAGATAGGAAATCCTCTTCTGGAATTCAATACTGATTTCAACTCCAATGCTGATTTCTTTTGGTCCCACGGACTCATAGCAGATGAAACTTACGAAGTATTCACTAGAGCCTGTAACTATTCCACAATATTTAGGACACAAATTCTAAATGAGAATCTTACTGGTGTTTGTGCAAGAGTAAATAACACTGTTTTTACTGAAGTTAGCAATTATATAGATCCATATGATGTCACTCTTGATGTCTGTTTGTCGTCAATCAATCAACAGGCTTATAGGCTGAAACAACTGGTGAGTTTCATCCATTATCTGCATAGGCATCTTAATTCTTTTTTTTGCCTCAGTTGTTATTCTCTTCATTTTCTTTTGGTTGCCTTGGTCTATGGTGCAGCAAGAGACACAGAAAATAGATGTTTGTGTGGAAGATAAAACATTCGCATACTTAAACAGGAAAGAAGTGCAGGAAGCTCTCCATGCTAAGCTCATTGGAGTCAAGGAATGGTCAACTTGCAGTGAGTAAGTTTTATTGCTTCAAAGATGGCATATACTTGAGTGGTTTATGGATGCAGATATTTAAATATTCAGAGAGGAGGAAAAGTAACTAATAATGACTATTAGACCCCATCCGTTTTGTTAAACATTAATCTTCGTCACATTTCTGTTGGGAAAATATCAATTCCCTCTGATACTAATTGTTGGAAATTTAATGGTATACTCTGATACCACTTTGTGGGAGATACAATAATAAAGAACAATATTATTATATCAAACTTTTATAGAAACAAAACACAATCCAAAACACAAGTGTTACAACACTACTAATTTCTCTCTCAAAATAACTCTTTCTCAAAACTCTCTCTTCTTTTCTCTTTTTCTAATACCACTCCTTATTATATCTTTCCATTTCACTCTCTTTTTTTAATTCCTAAACTCACTTAACTCACATCTAAACAAACACCTATATTTATAGCCTGAAAACCGACTCACTTTTTCTTAACAAATTATAATATAATATTCAAACTACAACTTTCTACAGTTTTCCATTAACCGACTTTGTTTCCTCAACTTGTCTTCTCTTTCATTTTTTTATTTGTTTAATCCATTTGCTTTTGACCAACAACTTAATATGCCTTTCCAGAATTCTCTACTTTCTTCTAACTTCAATTGTCGTGTTCTTCTAGTATGTGGTAGATAGCTTCTTCATACTTCCAAATAATTAATAATAGTTGCAAAGTATGATTTGAATTCTAACAATTTCTTTTCTTTGTATATTCCCAAATATGGTAAATATTTTATATAAGCATTTAGCAACTTAAGACAGTTAATTCTAATGAAAGATATAAAACTTTTACTATATGTGTTTCCACCTTATTTTATGGTACTTTATTACCCAATCTTCAAACTAACATCCAAGTTTAGCATTCTTTAGCAAGTCGATTTTGAATTACTTTTTTCATGTTTTCATAATTTGTCGCCCTTTTTTTGAGACTTATATCGCCTGCCAACACTATGTACCTTGTGTTACAGAGTTCTCCATTATGACTATGAGAATCTAGAGATACCAACAATTCCTATTCTAGGGTCACTTGTTAAGTATGGCATCCCGGTTCTAGTATACAGGTTAGTGAATTTATTCAACTATCCCCATTTAGCTAACTCCATAAATTACCTACCTAGCATGATTCATCAAGGCATAACATTTTTAAAGCAAACAAAATTGTTTTTCTTTGTGCAGTGGAGATCAAGATTCAATCATCCCATTATTGGGATCACGATCACTAGTGAACGGATTAGCCAAGGAACTTGGACTGAATACAACAGTGGCTTATAGAACCTGGTTTCAAGGAAAACAGGTTAATATTTGGAATGCAAATATTAAATCCTGAAAAGTTTCAATTCATCTATGCAGTGCCATTTTTTACTCAACCTTTATTTGGTAAATTTCAGGTAGCAGGATGGACACAGGTATATGGAGACATATTATCATATGCAACCATAAGAGGAGCATCTCATGAAGCTCCCTTTTCTCAACCAGAGAGATCATTTGTCCTATTTAAAGTATTTCTGGAAGGAAAGCCACTACCAACTATTATCTAAAATATGAACAACTTTAATAACAATGGTGTTCCGATCTACTAAAAACCCTTCTAAAAATCCACACAGAAAGTGATTATTGCTGTTGGATCACCTTTCGATTGTTATCTTCGTGCTATCTATCTACATTTTGATTTATTTCACTACAATGAGAATAGTGAGGTTGGATCCTCGCAATTGCTTTTTATCTCAATTTTCTTTATTCTATCCCTTCTCCCTCCTAGGGTCTCCCTAGAGGACTCCTCAGCAAGGCCTAGAGGATAGGTTTATGCCTTACAAATAAAATAAAATAATAATAACAATAATAAAAACTGAAAAATACTTTTGCAGTTAATGCAGATAAATTATTTGTATTTACTCCCAAAACGACGTCGTTCTGAGATTAAAATATTAAAAAATTATAATTATAAAAACTATAGTAACTTTGAAATAAATTAAAATTATAAAAATATTATGATTTTCGCCTCAAAACAACATCGTATTGGACTTATTACAGATAATTTATGTGCAGACACTCTAAAAAAAGCGAACCCGGATAAAAATGTACCGACTATTTTATTAGTTGTGCCAGATAACGCGGGTGCAGTTTTAATTTCTCAATGTTGTTTGATTCACAATTCAACCCCAAGCAATGGTTGTCTGGGGTTGAATATTACCATCTTTTTGAATGTTTGTCATGTGATGAGTACCCTTCTCAATAACTATCTTTTTTCCAAAATCATGTTCAATCACCACAAAGCAAATGTTCATTTATATTATTTTAACTATCTTTCTTCCTAGATCATTTAAGGAATAAACAAAATATTTTTAAAAAATTATCAATAATTAGCATGACTATTTTAAGGTATAGTTAAGTTTTCCCCTTTTAGGATGCATAACTATACTTTCAAACCTTGATTCAAAATTTTATGACTAATTTGGCAAATCAAGAGGATTTTTTAAATTTTCTAATTTGAATAAAACGGTTAGCGATTTCATGTTTTTAATTTATTAATTTTTTTGGATCATTACAAGTTTAATTTCGAACATAATGCTGAGCTAAACCTTCATTTTCGCACGGAAGCATATTTGTCCTTACATATGTCACAAGAAAGAAAGAAAGAAAAATGTGGAGATTAAACAAGGCAATCACTAGTAAAGCTTAACTGATAAACGGAGAGAAAATAACTTTTACACCAGCAAGCTGTCAAACTAATTGAGGTTTGAGACATATATTATTTGAGATATTATTTTCTAATGCAATACAAAAAAGAAGAAGATAGAACCCATTAAAAAAACAGAGAGAAAAAAATAAGTGCGTCTCGCCCATTTTTTTTATGTGGTGGATGAATTATTTCATATACGATTAGAAACAATATTCTTTATATTATACGAGGAATGATATTCTAACAATCAATTAGGGTTATTACCAATGCTATTACCAATCAATTTCATCGTTAGATCGATTATGTTGATCCAACGATTATATTTATTTTCATCTTTGTATGATTATGATTCCTCATATTTAATACTTTATATTTATTTCCTTCTTTGTATGGTTATGATTTATCATATTTAATGATTTCACGTGGGAATTACGAGGAATCATAACCGTACAAAAATAAAAATAAATATAACCGTTGGATCAATATAATCAAATCTAACGATGAAATTGATTTGTAACAATCCTACCTCCTATTATATTACACTTTTTGCTTCATATTTGTCATTATGTCTTCACCTTTCTAGGTGATTGAGTAGTTTGGGTTAATAAAAAAAGTATTATTGTTAGTTATAGGTACTTTTAAAATAAATTTATATTGGGCTGGAATCAAACCTAGTGCTTTAAACCAAAAAAACTAAACAGAAATGTCATTTAACAGGATTAGGGAGCGGTGCGCAGAATCATTGTTTTCTACCATTCTTATATAAGAACAAAAACTACTCTCAGATACTTTCACAAATAAATACACAAGTGTTTTAGAAAATACGTGGAAAAGAGAAAGCTTCAAGAACTACCCAGAAATAGAAAGAGCTACGAGAAAAATTCAGAAAAATTATATTCGACGAACCCACAAACGAAAGCAAAAACCTAGAAATGCAAATAAAAAACCAGAGATTCAAGGAAAATGTAGAAAAGTGAATACCTGAAGGCCTGAAGCTATAAGAAGTTTGAGATCTTGAAAGTCTTTTTAATTTTTATATGGACCTTAAAGCAGCACGAACACACGGAACTAAGAAAGATTAGATTTTTCTGGAAAATTGAAGAAAATCCAGATAGATTTCTTCGAAGAAGATAAAATAGGAGTAGAGAAACAGAAGTGTTTGCGTAAACGAAGCTTTTAATTGTGCAAAAATGATCAATTTTTCTTCTATTCCCAAGTAAACACTGGGGGGTGTTTGATAGGGTTTTTTTTTTGGATACCAGAAAAGGGATGACGTGTTTTAAAGAATGGATAGGTTATTCTATTTAATCCTTTCTCTTTTTCTGTTTATCTTTGCCTATCATATTAAAATATCATTACATCAGAATTTTAATTATTATTTATATTTCTCTCTTTACCTAAGATTATGATCTAACGATATTAAAGAGTGGTAGAGGTAGGTAGAAAAAATAGTAGACGCTGAATGCATTCTTGAAGAGGGGACTGAATCTTTAGCCATCACTGTTTCCCCGCACTCCGGATTAGTCCCATAGCCGGCTCAAAGAGTCGAAGATCGTGGGGATACCAGAGGGAGCTAACTCGTCTCAAAGAGATAATTAGGGTTGGGTAACTCCAAAAAAAGAAAAAATAGTAGATAAAATATCTTAACCCTATTAAAAATATCATATTTGGGTATTTTTTTTAAAAATTTATCCAGTAAAGTGATTCAGCTGGTAATTCATTTTGTGTGTAAATAAAGGATTGTTGGATTGCTAGAAAATTAAAAAAAGTGATGTGAAATTTTTGACAAAAATAACCCTCTTTTTATGCGATTTAGCCTTTTTTTTTTTTGTTGACAAAAAAAGAAAAAAAAAGTGTTTGTTATTTTAAATGACATAATATGTGTCATTTCATTCTCATAATGAGATGAGATCCATATCTTTATTTATTTTTTTGTCTACTCTTTAATTACAATTTATCTCTTTATTTCAAAATAACATAACTTTACATTTTTTACAATGACATAGATTCTCCTTAAATGAATAGGTAAGAATGTAATGTGATAAATAAGTGTAAGATAACCCAATAAAATAGAGTCATCACATTAATAAGGATTTAATAGCGTATTGAAATCAACTGATGATGAGAGTTACAATAAGTAAATTAAATAAAAAAATAATGACATTAATGGATCAGCTGCCACGTGGCAGTACCAACGAGTGGCACTAATTGGACTAGTGCCAATAAGGTTCTATGTAAACTTGCACCACTCCCTAATATTGTTAAATGACATTTCTATAAGAGGACGTTTGATAGAGGAGAATTTTTTTTTACCCGATAATCATGATTTCTAGAAATATAGTGGGAAAATAACTTTCTCGAAAATATTACCAAAAAGATATTTGGTAGGCAAAAATATTCTTGAAAATATTGAGTGTATTTTTATATTGCTATGTTTGGTTGATAGTAAAATTTTGCTGGGATTTTGGACAAAATTTACAAATATACCCTCGATTTTAAATATTAAGTCTCTTTTTTACAATGTTCATATCTCACTCAGTTCTGTCTCTCTCTACTTGTCAAATATTCATCATCGTTTAATGTTTGGGAAAGGAACAATTCCATCTAATCGGTGGAATTCTTTGGTTGGGATTTCCAAATCATTTACACAACATTTTCAATTTTCAGCATTTAAACTTTCCTTGGATAATTTCTCTTTAATGCCTACCAAATGTTGCATTCCTATTTATCCAACCAAAGAATCCCAAGAAAAAAAAAACAATCCAACTACCAAACGGACCCTTAGGGGCCGTTTGGTATGGGGTAATATAGTGGATGCCCAGGAATTATGAAGTGAGAATTATTTATGCACACATTTGGTAGAAGGAAATAAAAAAATATGACCGGATATAGTTTAATCCCTGGCATCCATTTTACACTATCATTTCTGATTTCTGATTCCCCTTCAGAAGATAGTAATCGTGAGTTCCCAGTTTTTGGATATTTTGGGTACAATTTCTCAGACTATATTACCCTCGGAGCCCTAACTTATCACTTGTACCACCAGAAACAAATCTTGTCTTGGAAAGGAATGAGGCTCTCGAGACAATGCAGTGACAACTTCGTGTGATTAGTATATGGCGTCTCAAAGAAGAGTGAGACGACTGCTTATCCGAAATCAGGGAGAGGAATCCGGAGGGCTTTTACACTAATTCATCAACTAAGACACAGCACCCATAAAGTGTTGAATTATCAGCACCCTATAGTGTAAAAAAAATACCAAAAAAAATTAAAAAAATTGTGAGTAGAGGAATGACTACAACATAAAAAACCAAAAACTAAATAAGGGAGATTTGAAGCTAGCTTTATGATGGAAAAGAGAAAGAGAGAGAACGAAACTTACACGGAGAATTGATCATAACATCACGGTTTCACGAAATGGAAGGACTCAGATCGATAAAGTGGAACATTAGGTCACCAACGATGTAGCAGGTCGTTCTTTGCGTTTTGTTTTGTTATATTTTAGAAAATTCGTTTTTTCTATAAAGTTATTCGAGGGTAGTTTTGTCAAATTGTATCATATTCCCAGCAATATTTTGTTTTCAACCAAACACTAATTCACAAAAATTAACCAATATTTCCAGTAATATTTTATCCTACCAAACATCTTTTTTCGTAAAATTCCCAGATAATTTTTGTTCCAGCTATATACCCAGTAATCGTGATTCCAGGATACAAAAAAATTCCTCCATTACCAAACGCCCCCTTAAGTTTTTTGGTTTAAAGCACTAGGTTTGATTTCAGCCCAATGTAAATTTATTTTTAAAGTACCTATAACTAACAATAATTCTTGTTTTATTAACCACACTAGTCAATCACCTAGAAAGTTGAAGACGGAATGACAAATATGAAGCAAAAAGGGTAATGTAATATAACGAATATTGTTTCTCATGTTATATTTTATCTTATGCA